GACCAGCTAGTGTTCTTAACTGCTGAGCAATCTCTCCAGCCCTAGTAATTTCTTTACAACAGGATGTGTTTGAATTTAAGTCAGGAGGAATGTCACTTTGGCTTGGGACTGACAAGCTGCTGTATGCAGAAGGGGTGAGTGATAGTTCTTGCTTCTCCCAATTCATGGCTGCATGTGTTAATGACTTGGTGGGTAGATATTCAGGTACTAGAAATGATAAACAATGTGCAGGATCCTTTAGCAATAAAATTGCTTATAGCTTGGGGAACAAAAGCAAAAATGAGAGTCAATATAGCACTGTTAAAACTGAAAACCATAAAGGCAGAAAATGGAATACAAAGTACCATTTCGCACACATCAGAAAACCACTCTGTAGGTTCATTAGGAACTCTCTGGTGTGTGAAACTGTCCATTGGTTCATTTACTAACCGGCCATGCACACTCACTGAAGCACAAGTTGGTAATGATTCCAGGGGAGGATCTGATCTCTGAGTCAGGCTCGTGTGCATGGAAAGGGAGCTATGGAAATATGCTTGTAGGAGAAAAGCCAGCACTCTGCCTCTGAAGTGTGTGACCTTAGTGAGTGCTGTGTTCTGACATTAGCAAGGCAGATGTATGTGACCTTGTTACTTCTGTAGCAAATCACCCGCCTTCTTCAGGCAAGCCTCAGGGATGATAGGATGGGGGATGGGCTTGATTTCATGAGTACCACCTACTCTGGGAATGTTGTCACACACAGACACCTTTTTTTTTTTTTTTTGGTTTTTTGAGACATAATTTCTCTGTATAGTTTTGGAGCCTATCCTGGAACTAGCTCTGTAGACCAGGCTGGCCTCGAACTCACAGAGATCTGCCTGTCTCTGCCTCCCAAGTGCTGAGATTAAAGGTGTGCCTCACCAATGCCCAGCTCACACTCAGAAACTTTAACTATGATAACTTCATATGTATATACGTGTATATATACATATAAATGTATATATACACGTATATATACCTTCATTGATAGTGTGTACATACATACACACACACAAACATACACAATCAGGTATGGAAAGGGGACCGTAATCCTTTGAGGAAGGCTTGCACTCTTTCCCTGGTTGCCGTTCAGTATCTGACCCTTGGGTTGACAAGAACACTGCTAGCCCATTGCTTTCTCTGAGAAATGGATAGGGATCATCTCATGGGAATATCCCCCAAATTCTTTAAATAATTTATATAAAATATAAAAAGTTGTAGTTCCTTAAAGTTATAATAATTATAAGAAACAACATTTCTTTCTCATAATCTAGATTTGGACATGCCCTTTAGGGACCAAAGATAAAATAGATTTATTATTTAACGAGTGAAAATAATTGAATTGCAGGAAAACCTAATCATAATTCTCCAGATTCACTAGATGCATAATTTACATTGCAACAAGTTTGCTGGTTAGGGCACTGATTAAACTCAGTGCTTTATGAAATGGTTCATTCAATATTTCTTTGGGAATGCAAATTGAAGCTTAGAAAATAGCAAGCATACTTTGGAAATTCACTAATGTTGGCATTCTAGGAGATGATTAAGAGAATTTTAAAAAAAACTATAACCCCAGATGTTTTACATGGTCTTACTGCTTTCCCCCCACAAACTGAGTTATTACAAAGTGAAATTTAAATTGTCAGTTGGTTGCAAATGTTAGGGCATTACTGAAAGGGGAATATAACATTAGCAAACAGGAGATGTCAGTTCAATAAAGTGAGTCTTCAGTCCTGCAGAGACACAAGGCCTAGCTGTTAACCAACTTCTGGCACTCAACCTTAGGGGAATCCTGCCCTGAATACTAATCAAATGGAAATGGCCATAAGCTGATACTTTCATGTAATTCCTTTCTTTAAATTCATAACAAAGAAACCCATCCTTCTAAGAGGTTTTTGGAATGTTAGAATTGACCTTGGCATTCAGTCTAATCCTCATTTTTACCCAACCCTACTTTGACACAAAGCAGTGGTTTGTGATGCGGTTGTTTAGGATGGCTAAAAATGTGTTATTGCTGATTGCTTCTCTGGGTGGTGTCGACCCCTGTGTACTACTGATGTTAGTTTCCCCCACAGCACAATGAAGTCTGCACTGAGTGATGGCCTTGCATTTCCCAGGTTTCTTCAAGAAATACAACAGCAAGAATCATTACCTAGGCATACATTTTGGTTGTTTTTGTAAATTCCAAGCCTGGGATTTCATAATGATTTAGTTGGTTCTTATCAAATAAGATGGAACATTGTGCAGGACAAAGGCTAACACGTTTGGGTTCCTGCTCACATTTATTGGGCCTAAAGAGACTGAAACAGTTAATTTTCTTCCCAAAGAATTGAAAAAAAATATATACATAATACAACAGCAATTTAAGTAAGCACATGACAAAACTTCCTGGATCATGGACCAACATGAGATGTGATCGCCTGTAGATATCAATTGAGATAGCTTTACACAATGTCATTCATCTAAGGCATGTGTGAACTGGTTCTCACAGCCGTACATGTGTACACAGTTTCACATACATAAAGGCATCTCTTCGTGGACAGAGAGAGATGTCCTTCAGGAGCGCTGGGCACAGAAGGATAAAACAGCACAAACTTAGTTACTGAGTAATTTTAAAGAGGAAACTTTGCTTCCAAGAAACAGTTTTGTACATCCAAAAATCAATGAGGATTTTCCACTTGAAGAGGATTATTTTGTGATGCAAACTACAAGGAAATTCACACAAAATTATTTGCTTTCCAAAGGCCACTTTCAAAGTACAGATTTCAAATCCAGAGCAAATGCCCATGGCATGAACTGACACAGCTAGGGCTCTAACACTTCCTGTCTAACACTTCCTAGCGCTTCCTGTCTGTCTTCTCTAATAGATTCTAAACAGGGGAACCCCCAGAAGTGGCAAGGGCTGGATGATGGAGCATTGTATCCAGTGAGATTTCTGGAAGGTGAAAACTGGTGGGCTTCCAAATCTATTTCAAATGGACTAGAAAATTTTTGCCACAGCCAAACACTTTTTATAAGAATCTTCCTAAAGGGCAAAGAGGAAGTCTAGAGTTAGAGGAAGCAAACTCTCCTGAGGACAACTCAGTGAAAATACCAGCCTCGCCCATCACAGCTGTCATTTGTGTCTTTGTAAACAAAGACAAGAGTTAAGCTGGCATGCCCTGGGGTGCACCAGAGATACATACACTTGGGTTCTAGCTACCAGATTCTTGAGTAGATTCGGACAGACCCTCTCACACACATTTTGTCACATAAGGAAGAAGACACTGTTATTCAGGCACTTTGCAACATTAAAAAAAAAAAAAAGTAATAATAAATCCAGTTAGGTAAAATCAGTTTGACAAGCAACTCCCCTCCCAGCCAAAAAAATAAAATCAAAACTAAGGCTTTTATTAAAAAAAAAAAAAAAAAAAAAAAAAAAAAAAAAAAACCCTGGAAGGCAATTTCCCTCCATTTTGCCAGGGAAATAGCAGAGACATTCTTTTCCACCTTTACTCCAAATCTACCAGCTCTTTATTTCTGAAATGGCAGCATTTCAGGTTACATGAAATCTGCCTCAGATTTGCCAATGGTGGCTAGTGTTGTTGTTGACAATCTTGCTACAAAAATCCAAATTCAGTTGTGTTCCTGTCATCCTCTGAGCTGTAACAAAGGTGCCTCCCCTCAAGGGAGATAGTTGACTACATCTGTGCAAGTTAACCACTCAGATAGATGTATATTTACATTTGGACTAATAAGAAATACCCTTTCAGAAGAGAGGTTTTTTGTTTGTCTTTTGTTTTTTGTTGTTTTTTTCAAGTGCTTAGACATTCAATGGAAAACATTGAGTTAATTTATATGGAGACATTTCTAATAAATGATTCAAATGATTTGAGGTGGTTGCCATTCCAAAGTTTTCCAGAGTTCTGTATTTTATACAAACTGATGATTAGAAAAGTACACAGCCAATGAATGTACTGTACATATACATCAGCTATTACTGTATGTGTGTGAATTAAAGGTCCTTGAATATATACATCCCCACTTAGGATACATCTCACTGCAGAGGTGCAAGGCATCAGTCTTTGATAATATATCCAGGATAGCAGCAGCTTAACAATCTAGTCACCAAGATGCCATGGAAAACAGAATGGGCCCTGAATGGCCTCCCTGACTTGAGGAGGAGTCTCCGTTAACACGGAACACATACTGTTCTGAGGAAGCACCGGGCTGCATTGCTAATGGCAACCGTATAATCCTGCCACTAGAGAAAATGTGTTCATCTTTTTAAAATCTATTTGCCAAATAGTCTAATGGGCAGGATGAGTCACGATGAGGTGACACAAACCCAAACTACTGAAGACACATGAAATGGTTCCATTTGATTTCCTGTCATTTTATCAGTTCCTTGAGGGCACAGAAAGTGTTCAGATTGTCTGAACAGCTCCCAAGAGAACGATACTAAATTAGGCTGAGCAAAGAACTGCCCTGAATTGTGTCTGAAAGTATGTAAATAACCTGATTATCACTTTACAGACAGCATAAAATTGCAGCAGGTGTTCTTCTAAAAGATTTGTTTTTGAATCCACTCTCCTGGTGAGTTATGAACTTATAACAAAAATTCACACGTGTACTAAGCAAAAAAAAAAAAAAAAAAAAAAAACCTTTTATCCTGACAGATAAATCATTTAGTCATAGAAAGGGACAAGATCTTTTTTCTAATCTTACTTTGTGTCATCTGTTGGACACCTCCATGCATGCCTAGCTAGAGGGAGTCACATGGATACTATATGGATGGACGGACAGACTATAATGTGTACTGTTGATGTACACTTTTCAGTCCAACTTCTGAGCTGAGAGCCACGGAAGGACCCTGCTGTCTTCCACCGAGGCTTTGAAGCTTGCTTACCCACATCCCATATAAAACACTTTTATAGACCACAGCTGCAGGCTGTGAGCGGTGCACTGGTTGCTTTAGAAGAATAACATCTGCCAAACAACAGACACTAAATTAGGCCACGTTGTTTTACATGTTACAGCCTTTTCCTGGGAAGGGACAACTCCCTCTGAACAGCAGTTTCTCCTGCCTGAAGATGAGATTACACAGGGAGAGAGCTATTACGTTTCCGCCAAGTCACTGTGGGAACTCTGAAGACGTGTTTGCAGTAGCCAGTACAGGCACGCCAGCCAGCGCATGACTCCTGAGATAAGCAGCCGGCTCTATTGCTCATAGAACTTCTCATTATACAGTCTTATCCTTCCCCTCTGACTCCTGGCTTCTGCCGTGTGACTTGTGGCAGTAGAATCTTGCTCAGTTTGCAATGCCACCAAACACAGCAATGCCATTACTACGCCGAATATTCACCCAGGCTCCTTAGGTTTGGACAGAAGATGAGCAGTCTGGTGGGATCCTATTCATGGCAAAATGGTGGTGTGTTAAGAGTCTCCCAGGCAATGCTGAAGCTCCCGGCCTGCTCCACAGACACAATCTGGACTGTGGGGCTACATCTGGATATGCAGGAACACTGGCACCCGGGACTTGGCCTTTTCCAACACCTAATGCTATCAGGCAAGTTCAGGATCTGGACACAGAGGCACTTCCAAAGTTTGGCAAGGAGAAGGAGGCAAGGTCGCTAAGTGGGGCTTTATCTCTGCGCTGTCTCACATAACCCAGATTTCTTTGCAGGTAACTAAGTTGTAGATGGGTCGTGCTTTTTCTTCTTGCCTCGACAGGACTTGCAGACGCAGCAGATTATACACGGAGAGGCCAGGAGTAGCAGAGGTGAGGTCACCAAGGCAATAACGCCTAATCCCACAAGGATCCCTACCACCTGGAAATTGGAGAAAAAAAAACATATTTCAGAAGTTACATCATCTTAGATGTGTACATGCCCCCAAGTATAATGGCCTTTATGGTGTGAATTCGTGTGAATCCCCATGTTGGAACCTTAATACTCAGTGTGATGGCATTTGGAGAGGGGAGCCCTGGCTGAGACTCTGGAGCCTTGATGATGCTAGGGAGCTCAAGGGCTGTCCTCCACTCTCAGCTCTCTGCCATGGGAGAACACAGCAATAAAACCATCATCTATGACCAGGAGGAGTGATATGAGTGTCACTCCTCATTGCCAACATGTCTAGGTCTAGAATCATCTAAGAGACACACCTCTGAATGTGTCTGTGTGGGCACTTTCAGTCAGAGTTAACTGAGGAGGGAAGATGTGTGTGTGGTGCCATCCCATGAACTGGGCATTGGATTGAATAACAAAAATGAAAAAGAAGAAACCCTGATGAATGCTCGTATTCCCCTCTCCCCGATTCCTATTCTGCTGAGATATAAGGAGTCCCAGCCTCAAGTTCCACTGGTGTGAACTCTGCCATGTCTCCCCCACCATAATAGACTGTGTGCCCTCAAACCATGAGCCAAATTTAACTCTTGCTCCTTTAAGTCCTGAGACAAGTGTCTAATATAAGGACCCTCAGCAGAATCCGCCCACATTGATACCTGAGGCAAGAAGCCATCTTTGTTGTTCCAGTCACCCATCTATGAGGGTCTATTAGATGAATGACTACGACACTGTCTCAGGCAGTGTTCTAAACTGCCTGAGTATAGCAGTATTCTAAACTGGACACAAACTACAAAGGACTAAATCGAGGATGAAAACAAACAAAAGGCTAACTGAAGCTTAACAGTTAACTCCAAACTGGCTCGTTCTCTATCAGGGCTTCCCCAACAGTCTCACAGGGACATTAATAATGTTCATTAGGATATGAACATTGGTTTCCTCAAAGGGAGCATAGCCTTTGATAAGTACAAAACACTATTAAAAGACAAACCACAACTCCCTTTGAACCTGCCACATAAACACACAATGACATGTACAGAGGGATCCGAGGCCCGGCAGGAGCCCATAGTATTGGAGAACTCTCCTTTGATGGCTGGTGTTCTCTAATGGCTTGGAGGAAACTCCTCCCATGTTTTGCAAGAGCAAAGAACATGGGTAATCACTTGGCTGGACACTCTAGTGCTCTGTTCTTGGCTGCCTCTCTGCCCCCTTGTTCTCTCTCTCCTTGTACCAGACCCTCCCGGGAGAGCATGAGAAAGTCAGGAAGCCACCCGAAGTCCAATGCATCTCCTGTTTCCTTAAAGAGGAGGGAGGGTACCTGTGTTCGGTTCCACATTACCGATGCTCTCGAGTGGCCCAGCTTATTCCTGCACGGCCCTTTGTCATAATGCCTGAGGAATATGTCATTCTGAAACACAAAAAGAGTAGTTTCAGTAAACACACAATGTGGGGTTGAGAGGTGGATATAAAGTGCACAGGTCGCCTAATGCTATGAATGACTTTCTCTAGGAATCCCAAGCCCATCCTCTTCAGCATGGCTTGCAGCTCTGCAAATCACCAAGGAGACAAATCATAATGAACTCTTGGAGGAGGCAACAGGAAAAGGAACGACCCGATCGACCATCTCCGACATGTAACTGCCAGCAAGCTCTAGCAGAACCAGAACATGAGAACCATAAACCAGGAGCATACCTGATGTGAGCAATGCCACCAACTAACAGCTGATGAGGAAGGGAAGCCAGTCATGGGATACTAAGAAAGTAATGAGCAGAATGAGGAAGCCGGGAAACAGAGAAATAATTCAGAGATGGATTTGTGGGGGGAGGGTAAGGTGAACTACAGTTTGGACATGCTGAACTTGACATCCAAGCAAAACATCCAAAGGCAGCCCATTACTTTATACTATACAAAAAACTTGGGGCGGGGGGGAATCACAGAACTCAAGGAGGTTATCTTGAAGGGCAGCGGACTGACTGAGAAGTAAATGTGTTCATGAATAGGTGAGGAGTCTGGAAAGGAAACTGAGGTACAGCTGGAGAGGCAAGGGCAAAAGAGATGGCAGCTGGCCAAGATGTCAAATGCAGCAGAGAACCTGGGAACGCTAAGCATGTTGAACTTTAGCAGTAAGAAAGGAATCATGCAAAACCTTGGAAAGAATAGTCAGGGTGTGGCTGCATGGCCATATGCATGTCTTGCGGCGCTGACTGGGGGAAGGCAGATGTCAGCAGCAAGAGGTGACTGGGCTCTCGGGAAGCTTGGCTTCTGAATAGAGAGAACAGACCATCAGTTTGAGGTGGCTGGCTCCTCTCCAAACAGTAAAGGAGTAGGAGTTGAGGTCACACGAAAGAGAAAAGAGAATGGAAGGTGACAAGTCTGTGATGTGCCATCTCAGCCTCTGCCGTGGTGTGGATGGAGATGAAGAAGGAGCAAACTCTATGTCCAGCACACAGAGCCCCTGTGTCTCCGACTTGGGATTTAGAAAAGCCTCCTTTGTGACAGACAGGTCTTCAACTTTCCCCCAAACACATCAACACCCACCGAGTGGCACAGAGTACTGCCCGGCAGAAAAGCGTCTTTACCACCCGCCAGTGCCCTCATCTGAAACAGAGAAAAACGAGGTCACAAAGCACAGTGACAGAAAAGCATGTTTTAACAACTGAAGTGCATGTGTTCAGACATTTAACATCTGTCCCATTTCGTCTCGAGGGCCCACACAACACAAGCGTCTGAACAGAGTGTTCTCCACCACACCATCCCCCAGACATACTCCAGCCAAAGGATGGAGGTCTGGTGCACACATTGAGGCCCTTGCGTTCTTGCCTCTGGAAGAGAAGCACAGGAACTCAACTGCCTGGTGGATAGAAACCCAGCTTCTGGCCTGGGGTCACCAAGGAGAAAGCCCTAGGATCTCTTTTGAATGTGTAAATCTAAAAGACCCTGTTGAAGCCAAGTTATTCAAGGTGGAAACCATTTGTGAGCTGTTTAAATTCCTTTCACATGCGCCTGAAGCTCTTCAATCTAATGCACTTCCTTTAAAGAGACCAGGCTCACAGAGACGTTTCCTCACCCCTCAACAGCTTACCTAACTTTCAGCTGAAGTGCCAGTGGGCATTCCATTAATGACACCCTCGTCCCCGAGCTGCTTGGTACTTCAGCACCGAACAAGCAGCTAGTTGAAGGAGACCCGACTGTACAGCAAAACCCAGGGCCAATGAAGGGACACCAGTGTATGTGTGCAACGTCTTATGTCATTGATACTGTCTTATGTCAACAGAGGAGGGAGACCCAGCTGACAAAATGTCTCTACAAGATTGGGCTGTAGGCATGCCTGTGGGGCATTTTCTTAATTAGTGATTGACAGGGGGAGGGCCCAGCCCATTGTGGGTATTTCCTCTCTTGGCCTGGTTGTTCCAGGCTCTTTATGAAAGCAGACTGTACAAGCCATAAGGATCAAGTCAGTAAGTGGCATCCCTCCATGGCTTCTGCGACAGCTCCTGCCTCCAGGTCCCTGCCCTGCTTGAGTTCCTGTCCTGACTTCCTTTGATGTATGGACTGTTCTGTGGAAGAATAAACCAAATAAACCCTTTCCTCCAAAAATTTCTTTGGTCATGGTGTTTCATCATAGCAATAGTAACCCTAACTGAGGTCTGACCCCATATGGACCCCATTCTTGATTCAAATTGCCCTGACAGGAATATTCATAAACAGTTTGCACTACCTCAAACTCTAAAAGACTGGGATGAAGTCCACCCTTCTCAGCTACCCCTTCCCACAGCTGAGGTCTCTGTTCCCCTTGACACAGGACTAACCGGAAACGCAGCTGACTGAGAAGATGTGCTATTGGGCAGTGAAGGAGAAACGATCAGACAAGTCCCAGGATCTAGCAAGTGGCAAGGCAGCAGTACTTCCTGTCATACAAGACACAGGGGCAGGAGACAGCAGCTTTTCCAATTGCAGGAGGCAAAATGCCTCTCCAAGGTGCTCTTGGCTGCGTCTCCAGTGACCACGTCTGCATGTGTAACTGCATGAAGGACCTTGGCCTGGGGGTACAATATCCTTTGTGATACAAATGTGTTCAATCTCATTTCATGGGAGAGGAAATCCTTCCTCCCTGTGATCAGTGGGAATGAGAGCCATGAAGGGGGGTCAGAGAGAGTCAATGTTGCTGCCTTTGGAGATAGAGAAATGGGATCAAGTCTAGCAATGCAAGAAAATCCTATCTCTAGAAGACAGAAGAGCGAAGAACTGGATTCCCAGCTAGAGTCTGCAGACATCGATGCAGCCTTGTCAGTACCATCCTCCAGTGAGACACATATTAGACTGCTAATGTACAGGCATAATTCTGTGTTGTTTTAAGCTGCAAAGCTTGCGATCATTTATTACAACAGCAATATGAAACAAATGCACTATTCACATGACATTTACATGATAGGCACAATTTCCTCCAAAGCATAAAATGCCTTTAAACAAAGGATGTCTTGAAAGCTAGAGTGGCTTATCTAAGGTTATACAAAGAGGCTTCATGGTGTCCGAAGCGGCAATGGGGCTGGGGATGTGACTCGGTCACACAGTGCTTGCCTAGCATGCACAACGACTGGGAACGAGGATGCGAGAAGTAAAAGGAAGGAGGAGGGAAGAAGGAAAGGAAGAAGACAGACAGGAAAGTAGAGAAGGACAAACAGAAGGCATCAGGCTCAAGAAATCTCACTGAGAAAAACAAATCCTTTTGCAGGAGGATAAGAGGCTCCACAGTTACAGGGAAGGACTGTAGGGCTCTGGCTCTTGCACGGGCACAGCAAAAGGCAAATGAGAGGCCTCTCCTGAGGAGAACTTACGTCCAGGTTCTGCAGACAGTACCAACAAAACGTGTGTTTGCAGTTTTTGCACATCATCTGGGCGCAGCCTTCATTGCGCTCAATGTAAATGCGGCAAACCGGGCACTGCTTAATCGGGGCATCTGCCTCTGTCCCAAAGAGGGCCCTAAAACAAGACAGACGAAACGTGTTCAGTCAGCAGTCATCCACCCTACTGCCAGGGCTGCTAAGTGGATGGTTAATAAATTCTCTGTGCTGTGTTTAACTCACTTCCAAAGAAAATGGTGGGAGGTAAAATGGGAGACATGGATTATTAGTTGTTCAGATAGTTCAATAAGAAAGAACTTATTTATTTTGGCTCCTAATGAATTATATAATTACACTTTCCACAGCTGGCTGACTTTATTGCTTTGCTAAATTAATACTTCGTTCCTGGATCACACATTCTCTGAATGAGAAGTGAATGGAGGGAGTTAGACCATGAGGACTGAACTCTGGATTCAAACAGGATGCAGTCTGTATACCGACCTGCTCATTCAATAAGGGGAGGGTGGGATCCAGTTAGCAAAGCTCACAGAGATGCCAATTGTTATGGAAAAGGCCTCCTCCAAGTTGATGAATAGGTCAGTGTGTGACCACAGCAGACAGGGACACAGGACTAAGGGGTTCAAGCTGAATGAGGAGGGAATCAGAACACTCCATCCTGTTCTACTGACAGCGTATCAAAACCACCACCCAGCACACAGAGACATCACAAGTTACAGAATGTTGTCAAACCCATGGTCAGATGTGGTGCTGGAAATAACATTGTGTAGACAATATTTCTACTTTAATATTCTCCTTTGGGATAGCTCAGCGGGTGATGGTACTTGCTGCTAAACCTGATGACCTGAGTTCATTCCCTGGGATACATGTAATGAAAGGGGGAAAAAATAAAACAAAAACAAACCAACTCCCACAAGTTGTCCTCTGACCTCCAGGTATGATAGCACAGGTCCACACATGCACACACACACACACACACACACACACACACACACACACACACACACGAGTAAATGTAATAAAAACTTTAATACCCACTTTTCCCAATGGGGATAAAAACTCATAAGAGGCTGAGTGTCTTATATGAAGCCACCCAGATGTTACAAACAGTGTCAGAACTCAAGTGACCCCTCTCCTCTGACCCCTTGACTCTAACGGGGAGGGGTGCTTAACTACTATGGAAGGCACCGCTTGAAATCTGACGGGGATGGCACATAGCATTCCGTGTGTCAGAGTTCTCTTTCTTCGGTGCTTGGTCTGATATTCGAGCACAGCACCAAACCCAGGCAGTGTGACTCTTCCTGAAGACAGGTTCCGCACAGTCTGAGGGCACTGGGTGAGTTAGCCAACTGGCCGGGAACACTGGTGCTTTGTTCTTGCTCGTGCAGAACAGTCTTAGCCTCAAGTGAAGCCTGGGAACCAACACAAGCAAGGTCTCTCACTCTGCCCCCGGCTGCTGCCATAAAAACCCAGGCACCCACCCATTGAATCCTTCTCAACATAAATCTCAGGCCTGGCACCTCCTTTCATAGCAAAAAAGCATTAGGAATGCCTCTCTCTTCCTGCATTTTATAAGCACTTAGGAAGATAGTCTACCTGTCTGTGTGCTCTGTAGGACCAGCAGACCCAATGAGCTGGCCATTTAATCAGGTAACTTTATCTCTCTTATTTTGTAAACAGGAAGAATGGGCTATGCCAGTGATGGGTTGATGGGAGATGTCATTCTGTAAATATGTTTCTCATACTGGTTAATGAATAAAGCACTGTTGGCCAATAGGAAAGGAAGATAGACGGGACTAGGAGACAAGGAGGATTTGAGGAAGTAAGAGGGAGGAGTCAACATGGAGAGACTGGAGAGAGCAGAACCACCGGCCCCCTCTCTCCGGTAAGATAAGACCACGTGGAAATACTTAGATTAATAGAAACAGGTTAATAAGACAGAGCTAGCTAATAAGAAACTAGTACCTGGCCAACAGCATTATATCAAATACAGAGTCTTGGTGTGTTAATTTGGACTGGCATGGCAGTGGGACCAGACCAGAGGAAAAACCTACTCCTAACAATGGGTAAACTTGGTTTTGGAGAAGCTCTAGCTTTCTGCTGAAACCTACCGAGCGAGGAGCCTCTCCAACCAAAGGGAGTGAACTCAAACAAACTTAACGTGACCTGGAAGGTCCCCCAGGATAAAGAGCTAGAACCCCTTTAGACACACTGTTCTGCTTGCTGTCTGTTACAACCTTACTATTTCTGCTCAGGATATTTCTACAGTGAATGCCTAAGAGCCACTGTGTTCTAACCCTTCCCAAAGCCGCTGATGTGGGGTTTGAGAAGAACACTGGGACTAATCCAAAGATACTTCATCCCTTACCCGTGCTCTGGCACAATAGACTGTTCTCTACAGGTGGTCTCCCCGTGCCAAGCATCCTTGCAACATGAGCAGAATTTCAGGTGGCAAGAAGGGCACTCCACCACCACAGGCTTCCCTGGGTCTCCTGCAGCAATATGGCACACTGTCTGGCAGTCTGCAACAGGGCACCATGTTCGGAGGGGGTCCATGTGAACCTCTGAAACATAAAGGAGGAAACGGTGATGGGCTTTCTCCCATCCAAGCATTAAGCTTTCTCCCCTTCATTTATCTTTTTTATACAGCAACACGTGTGGTATAGTATGAGTAGAAGAGTGGCCATCTCTGTGATGGTCAGTCTTCATAATGGTTCCAAGCCCACCACCCACCATCCAGAGCACAAGGTCATCCCTGTCACACTCTCAAGGTGGGAATAGAGCAAGTCTCTCTGCCCTTATTAATAGGTATGCTATGGCCTTTAACCAAAAACTACATTTTCCTTTGAGCACTCAAAATGGAAAAAAAAACCTGCTGGGCAGTAGTGGTACATGCCTTTAATTCCAGCACTTGGGAGGCAAAAGCAGGTGGATCTCTGAGAGTTCAAGGCCAGCCTGGTCTACAGAGCTAGTTCCAGGACAGCCAGGACTGTTACACAGAGAAACCCTGTCTCGGAAAAAAAAAAAAAAAAAAAAAAAAAGGCAAAAAACGCTAGGTACCATCTTGGAGGAAAGTATGGTGTAGGATGGTGTACAGAGCATCTACATAAAAGAATATGCACTTTGGACTCTGAGATACACTTCATACAGCAGGGAATTGGAAAACAAGGATTCAAATAGTTTAGGATCAAACAACATTCAGTGTGGCTTAGTTAGGAAGTCAGACTTAAGTAGATTGCTGTCTTACCAGTGAACAAATTAGGAACTATTTATGAAGTGCCTGTAGGCTCTTAAAACAAACAGGGACTTTCTCAGACTATAAAGTGATAGCCAGTCATATAACAGTGGCTAGATCCATGCAGCACATAGGAGAAAGGGTAAGATTGGCAGGTAGATAGCTAGCCATCTGGTTAAGTATTTAAAGTCTCTCTTGTTTTCCCATTTCTTGCTCATGAACAGATCCCATTTCTCTGCATGCAATATGCCCTGTGATGAGATGTATAAGGCAGGTAGAGGGGAGAAGTAAGTAGCCTTTCTTGCTCTGAATGGATATACTTTACAAATTTTTTACTCATGATATTTCTCTCTTAACCCCTGAGCTTAACTCCAATCCATTATGGTTAATTGAATCGGTTGTAATAATGGGAGAAGTTATAACATCAACGTATTTTTTCAAGCATCCAAGAAGGTACAATGAAAGCAGAAACAATAAATGAGGGAACAATTACAGATACTGATTAAACTGCTATAAAGTAGTTTAGAACCCAGGGCAGCTGCCCACGGTCCAACACAAACAAGAGGAAAGAATCTGAGCCACTGAAAACAGCAATCTGAACTTTCCAGCATTGTGATAGGACACGAGGAGCAGGCAGAAAAGCGTGGGAGCAGGGCAAGGATGGCAGCATCCCAGTTCTCCACAGAGATGGAGCATTAGGGGAGTGCAAAGCCATGGTGACTTCAGACAAATGTAATGACAGGACAGCAATCTTAAAGGGCCACTGTCGTAGAGAGGTCCCATTAGTGGCCGAGATGTTAGCCTGTCGTTGTTTTGTACTTCCTCCCTTAGAAGTTGTGTTAGGGCGTTTCTGGGTTGGATGGCTTACTTGTTAGTTAGTGTGGGGATAAGATACATGCTGGACAGCAGCCCGCACTGAGTTATACCCCAGTCTTCTTCAAGGATGCCTTACCATGCTCAACGACAACCAACGGTACATATCAGGAGATGAATTTCCAGCTCTACCTAAAAACAAAACTGACCTCTCTAGCCAATTCTCCCAGATAACTCTTTCAGTCCCCTTGCATCTTACAGAAACACCTGACTGCCAGGACAGTCTGGGTATTCTAGAGTTGTACTCCCACACTTCTGGCAGCAAAGGCCAGACATGTGATGTGTTTCCAACCAATGCGAAGGTAAAATGAGACCTATCACAGGGCTTCTAGGACAAGACCTGGTCCCCAGTACCATTCATCAGCCTGCCTCTGGCCACAGGTATGTGAAGTTACGACATTGGGACAAGCATGAGCATCTGGGGATTCTGAGGAAGAGCTTATTTAAGAAATCTGAGCTGTTAAATCAATCAAAGCCATCACTGCCCACCTAAGGACTTCTGTATATAAACTAGGAAGATTTCCTTGTTGTTCAAGCCATTTTAAGACATTCCATTTCTTGTAACTGAAAGCACATTAACTTAAAAGGCTACTTTAAATCATACTATAGGGCTGTTTCCCCGACAGGGCAGATTTTACTGAGAGAACTCATGTCTGAGATGACCTTGGAAGTTTTTCCTATATCCATAGTTTTATCTATATGTACAGCACATAGAAATTATACAAATAAATAGAAACAAAAACCCATATTATTCTGTAGAAGCCTTGTGCACCATAACACAAATTCATGTACTTTTCAAAAAGTTAATACATTCTGTCAGAAATAAACCAATTTTATATAGATGACCAGAAAAATAATATATTTGTGTAGTTGAGCATTGTATATATTTTTTAAAAATATAGGAAAAATTTAGAAAATAATATTAGATGTGTTAATGAAAAGACCAGGTTAGAAAATAGTACAAATGAGTGATATTTATGAAACTATGTATATAGAGATGTATTTCAGCTGCTTCCAGAATACTCTTGAAGGTAACAGCTTTCCCTGAGAGAAAGGTCAATGGTTGGAGGAAAAGGCACAGATGTTCTCTTTATTGGGAATGTGAATTTTAAAAATCACATTTATTTATTGTGTTCCGTAATTGTGTACATGACACATTACATGTGTCATGTGTGCGTGATGTCAGAGGACCACTTGTGCCATGTGAGACCCAGGGATTGAACACAGGTCTCCAGGCACAGTGGGAAATCCTTTACCTACTGAGCCATCTCACTGGCCCATGTGATTTTTTTTAAGGCACAAATACCACTTGTGTAATTTTTAAATTTTTTTTTTTAAAGCTGTTTCCTGAAGCCTGGCATAGTGGCTCACACTTGTAACCCCAGCAATCAGGAGGGAGGTGTCATTCACAAGGGCAGCAGTCATTTTTCCTGGTATAAAGACCAGTTGTTATACCTTCCAGAACTCTGTTCTTGATAACCCATTTTACTTCCTATGTCATCCTACCTACGGTATCTTCCCAAATGTTCTGAAGTAAAGGGCTTGCTGAAAGCACCTTGATAAACTGCCCACCCCCAAGTCACCAGCAAAATCCTTCTGGGTATACTCCCAAGTGTCCCTGGATTGTCTTCTAGCTGACATCTCACCTCCCATGTCCAATGGTTTGGGCTCTGTCTTCTCCCTTTCTGGCAACTACTCTCCTTTCTCCTGTGCCACTAATACTGCTCTTGACTAGCATCCCTCAAAGCTGTCCACACTCTTGACTAGCATCCCTGGATGCTGCCCATGCCCTACTCCAAGACTTTGCTTGCATTCTACTTTTTTATGTCATAACTGAGGCTCAACTCTCATTTTATTAAAAGACTGAATATCAGGCATGTCTATTTCTCACTCTTAATTCAACAAATGACTGATTTCAAGTACTTGTTAGGAACTTGGGCATATGAAATGCAAAAACAAACATTTCTGTGCCAAGAAATCTAACAGTATGAAGATCATTGTATGGGAAGACAGAGATATTTAAAACAATGTAACACCTAAGAAACAAAAACACTAGCAATGCAAATGGTTGGGAGTGAATCTCCCAAGACAATAAAAATGAAATTATTAATAAACACCTATGAGCAGTTCTTGGGGATGGAGATAAGGGCACTTAATAGCTACTTACAGAAAGCCCTTTAAGCTTTCTTTCTTGTCCACATATTCATAATAAAATCTCCTGCTTTAATTAAGCCTAACATCAGAAGGCAAAAGTGGTTTCTTCTAATCACAGACAAAGCAGATAACACATGCTGAGATGAAACATGAGAAGATTAAGCCAGAAAGGGCAAATGCACTATATAAACACAGACTTTTGAAAAAGAAGTCCCTTAGGTGGCAAGGATGCAGCCAGGCTACATGTGGAGACAAAAGGGGAGAAGTCTCTATCCAGATGTTAGAATTAAGCTTCTGTACTTAAAGGAAACATCTGTGGTGACAGGACACACCCTGATGGGCCCTGGCAACTCACAAGCCAAATGCCTCTCTCCCTAGATCCAAGGTGAGTGGTACCATACTGACAGATTGAAATCAGCCATGGCAAAAGTATTCGCACCTTCAAAGTGGCAAGCATTCCCAGCTAGAGGGTCACAGAACAGACGCCAAGCTGAGGTAAACACATCAATACACAACAGCTATGTCATTCAGCACAGAAAACCATGGAGCACCGAGTAGGAAAATGGAGAGCAGAACTTGTATAGCATAAAAGGAAGAGACGCTGGAACCGCCTGATCATCCTTGATACAGACAGACACATACACCTGTAATAAAACCCACATGGGTACACACCTTTCCGATGGCATTTGTTTTTATATGCTCAACTTGGCATTCATCAATTGCCTGCTGTACCCCCTCCTTGGCTCTTCAACCTCAGTAAAGTAGTGAGTTCCCTACCCTGGAGTACACGCTGTTTCTACCATTTAGGATGGAAGTATGTCAAAGGCAGGTGCTTTTGGAACCCCCAAGAGGATTTCAAGTACCTCTCCTGCGGTCAATCAGAGGGGTACACTCTGCACTCTGGTTGACCTCAACTATCCAAGATCTTTCCTCCTCTACACACGGGGTCAGAAAAAAAAAAAAAAAAAAAAAAAAAAAAGACAGATGAGATTCCCTGAATTGTAGAGTCCCTATCTACGACTCAGCATGACTACTTGGGTGACATGAGGGGGTTGTCGGTCCACACAGCAGGGCACCTAAGGAACAAGATAGCATCATTTGTGCCTAAGAGGTCTACTTGGAGGGACACTGTTTCCACACAGATACTTGAACAGGTCCTAAGAGGCCTCTAAGTACTGTCCTGGTAGTTTACTCTGCTTACCATCTCTCTAAACATCAAAAGTCACATTAATGAATAATCTGGTAGAAAGAGACAAAGTGAGTCACACTCCTGAAAGTCTTCCCACTTCTACTTCTGTGTTA